CTAGTTAACCTTCTTTTCACTGGAACATAATATTATTTTTTTTTCGTGATTCTATACGAAGGTTTAGAATAATATTAAGTTAAATTGTTTAGGGAGGGGCTAATAAAAGCCCCTTATATACCTTATTCCTTCTTTATTTAATTGTTTTGACAATTTTACCTCTTTTTTCTTCAGTAAAAATCACAAATCAGCCCCAATCTAAACTTACTAAGCTTAATACAAACATTTATGATAAATGAGATGATTTTTCATTTCCTATCATTAATTATCCATTTTTAGATGGCGACGTTCCCTTGTCACCATCTTATGGTGTTTATATATCTCAACTTGTACGATTCGCTCGTGTATGTAACAACGTATTAGATTTTAGCGAGAGAAATTTATGTATTACTGAAAAATTATTACACCAGGGTTTCCGATATCATAAACTAGTCAAAACATTTACTAAATTTTATCATCGGTATAAGGACATCATTCGTAAATATAACTCAACATGCAGATATCGTATACGTTCGGGTATTTCACATCCAATCTTTTATGGTAATATTCTTTACAAAGCACAAAAATGTCAGTATTCACCTCAAAAGCTAACAAAACCTTTAAACAGACTTATTAAGAAGGGATATAGTTACGATACTGTTGTCATATCATTAAAGATTGCATATTTTGGCTTTAATATTAATTCACTTATAGGGTCTTTGCATCGGAATTAAACACATTTATTCTAAAACCAGTTGTTGGCATGACACGGGTTATGTTCTTCTCATATATTTTCTGACGGTATAATACTAAACCCCTAACAGGAGGGATTGTGCCTGATATTCATATGATGAAGACATAATCTTTTAATCAGTTTGATTGAGGTCTGGAGCTGGCATGTCAGTAACTGCTAGTAGTCTGTTGTTATTTATGTATTATTGTCATTTTGTTTATTTTCTTTTGTTTCCTATTCTGACATCGGACTCGGACTTCTCTTATACTGAGTTTTACTGTACGTACTGTTGTGCGTTTGTTTTCCTACATTGGCTAGAGGTAAAGGGGAAGGGTTGAGATCTCAAAAAACATGTTTAACCCCGCCGCATTTTTGCGCCTGTCCCAAGTCAGGAGCCTATGGCCTCTGTTAGTCTTGTATCATTTTAAATTTTAGTTTCCTGTGTATAATTTGGAGTTTAGTATGACGTCCATTATCACTGAACTAGTATACATATTTGTTTAGGGGCCAGCTGAAGGACGCCTTCGGGGCGGGAGTTTCTCGCTGCATTGAAGACCCATTGGTGGCCTTAAGCTGTTGTCTGCTCTATGGTCGGGTTGTTGTCTCTTTGACACATTCCCCATTTCCATTCTCAATTTTATTACTAAGTATTTTTTCCATCACATTCAGTTTAAGTACTTATACTTTTTTCAATGTGATTGGTTCTTAAAATCTATTTCTAATCCATGAAATTATGTAAGAGGGAGACCATTTATCATTCTGGGGGTAGGATTTGGATTGGATTGAAGGGAGGAAGATTTTGTAAATGAATCTTATGGATTGGGTGGAAGGAAGGAATATTTTGTAAATGCATCTTATGGATTGGGTGGAAGGAAGGAAGATTTTGTAAATGAATCTTCCGGCTTGGAAGTAACTGGAAAAAAACCTTGCAAGAGGAGAGGGTGTTTATAGGCATTAGTCTGCTACAAAATTCATTTCAGTTATTTTCTGAGTTAAATATGTTTAAAAGAAAATATAAAAAATATGAGATGATAATTATGCCCAACAAAAAATGCAGCAAAAAAAGTGCTCAAAAGTGAAAATTTATATTCCTGGAAAACAAAATCTTCCAGTAAATGAATGAAATATGAATAAAGGTACCTGACAGAAGAGGAGCACAGTTGGTTTTCATAAGAATGCCAAGTTTCTTAATGAAACGCAATGCCAAACACTGGACTATAATCACTAACAAACGCTTAAGCAACACACAAAAAAAAACAACAACATTGTGATGAACATTATAGCTATCAATAGGTAACAAATATATGACTCAAGAAATTGACATTGCTAAAACAGCTAATGTTTTCACTAGTAGTTACCTCTCTTTGACCATTGAAAAGATAACATATTTACAACATACATGTAGCGTATACTTATTTTGAGGATTGATTTAGTACATCTTGTGCACTCCACGTATAATAACTTTATAAATGTCTAAATCAAATATATCTATGCAGCTGCATACAAAAAATTCTGATCCCAATTTTAATGACCACCATGCGTAATTTATGGACACTAGCAACGTAAAACTTCAATAGGTACGAAGTAAGTAAATATATGGAAAACGTTTCACAGCCTCGAAATCAAAATAAGAATAGAACAGAATAGCAATAAAAAAAAAAAAGAAAGAAAAAAGTGCCATATAAATCGCATTCCAAGTTTTGGTACTTTTTATAAACTACTACAATGTACAATGTACCTCATCAAGACACTACCGAAACCTTGTCTACCATGCATTATGTAATATTATCAGATTTGATGCAATCCTTAATCAGCGTACTACACCACAGTGGACAGAAACTGTAAATATTTGCAATTTTCTGAAACTCTGTGTGTGAAATGTTCGTTTTATGCGGACGGTGTCGACCTCGTGTAATTGTTTACGTACGGGTTCACTCTGTTCGCTTTTAAACTATTATGCTAAATAGAATCAAAATATGTTATATGTTTATTTCAGGTATTACTAGTTTGCTATGTATCAACATGAAAACATGTTCGTTAATGTTACCGCAGTTCATGCGACTGAGCTGTACTATGAAACAAACACCTAAACATCAAATAACAGATGACTACTGATATCGTATTACGATATTTGAAATTCCTAAGATGTATGTTATTCTCGTGGTACAATACAATTACTCTTACATAGGAAAATTTGAAGCGTAACTGAACATTTGATTATCAAATATATAATAGGATTGTTTTTGATTTTCAAAGTAACAGTGTCATCAAGAACCACTAATCTTGAACATAATGAATGCAATTACTGAATGTTCTCTTTCGAATGATTTAACATTCGTTTTTATTTAATACACATTCACAATAATTACGAATTATTTTTGTAATTTTCATATTTACCGTTAATGAGACAACGTTTGAACTTGGTAAAGCCAAACAAGAGCTACCTTTTCATTAGATACGTCTTAAGAGTGCAGATTATATAATCGTATAGTAACAACTACAGTTTTTCAATTATTCTAACAGACATGAATTCCTGTCCAATACAAGGATTACAGATGCGGATTAAGGACGGGAGGGGGGATTGACGCCTGCTCCCCCTTTAGGGAGCTAAATTTATAGTTTATGCAGATCACTCCAAATTGTGTCTGGTTTGGCCTCCGCCACTTTTAAATCCTGGATCCGCATCTGATTAATCTCCACAATCATAAGTTTGTAATGAAACTTGACGCTATGTTGGTAATTATAGGAATGATAGAATGTCATTTTTACTGGTCTAGGTCGTACGTTTCAAGTTGATAGAACTATTTTCTGTTGAAGGCACAACCCAGTTTTGTAACCTAGGACCATTATATTCATTTCTTTTTTAAATTAAGATAGTGTATTGTAGAGATATTATGTAAACATAAAACTTCTGACGTCAGCTTTTGTTATTTATATATGTAAGACTCAGATCGACGTCCAGTCTTTAATCGACGTCCGTTCCTCTAATTGAAGTCCAATTTGACGTCATAATCAAATAAGATTCCAGTTTCATGCCTCTGTAATCGAGGTCTTTTATTTTGGTTCTCCAATCAACTTAGTTATTCAGTAGCTTTCTAATCGATGTCATTTTTAGGAAGAGTAGAATTGAGAATGGAAACGGGGAATGTGCCAAAGAATCAACAATCAGACCAAAGAGCACAAAACAGCCCACGGCCACCAATGGGTCGTCAATGCATGTACGTCACACACAAAAACCAAAACAAAAACAAAACAAAAACAAAAACAAAAACAAAACAACAACAACAATAAATAAACGAGGCATTTAGCATAACTATGAGGATAGAACTTGTAATTATGTGGGCTAGACTGTGAAAATATATTTTCACCAGGAATAGGGCAAGTGTGAAATATAGTACTATAGTGTAACATAGATAAACATGTAAAATAACTTCAGGAAGACTTCCAGGTTCTCCTGATAGAGGAGGGATTTACAGAAGGTAACAGGTAATTACAACGGGAAACTACATGTGACATATGCTGTTGGTATCAGTATCGGATTCGAACCGGAACTTATTTATTATTGGTATTATTGATTATGTGGAAAACAAAAGAGCCTAGAATGTAAAATTATCTTGCAGAGACCGAATTATGAGAATTTCTAACCAATTGGCTGTGTTTCTTTATTCCGTCTATTGTTGGAGACTTAAAGCTGCTCTCTAGGATTTTTTCAGTTATCTTTGTCGTTATGCGATCTTGTATGAGTGGCCGTTCGTGTCATTGGCGGTATGAACATACCGTATGAAATTTTCAACGCGTTGGTTTTTACTTTCAACGCGTTGGTTTTTACTTTCAACGCGTTGGTTTTTATTATCAACGCGTTGGTTTTTACTTTCAACGCGTTGGTTTTTATTATCAACGCGTTGGTTTTTACTTTCAACGCGTTGGTTTTTACTTTCAACGCGTTGGTTTTTACTTTCAACGCGTTGGTTTTTACTTTCAACGCGTTGGTTTTCACTATCAACGCGTTGGTCTTCCTTTTCAACGCGTTGGTTCGTAATTCATACGGTATGAAAAACCAACGCGTTGGTTTTCAATTCCATACCGTAATTTTTCCACTTATGTCTACCAATCAACATCTTTGTAACAAAGTACAATCTTATCAACCGTTCGGACGGACTCCAGATTGTTGTTAAGTTTGGCGGGAAAAAATATCCTCCGTTGTTGAAGATACTTACTGACTTGCTACATGGCTACACGAAGAGGAGACCGGGAGCGATTTTAAGATCGATTCAAGGGAATGGTGAATTATTGCAGCCGGATTAGCACTTCGGATACAATGGACGATGATACATCAGAAAATGTTCGAGGAAGGTACACATGTTTGATATATGTTTATGGTTAATAAAAACTACATGATATTAAGTCAAAATATATTTCTTGATAGTCTGTGTTCTCGTCAGAGCATACATTCAAGCAGTACCCACTACAAAGAAAATTAATTAGGTGGAAAACTTCTTCAAAACTTTTTCCGTACAAGCAATTACAAATGTTTTGTAGAAACATTTATTCGACATTTTTCCCATAACCTACAGTTCATATTATTATATATTGTGATAAGGTTACGAAACGTCTCAGTTACGAACCGACCTAGTTTGTTCCGAATCGTCTTTGTGCGAAACGACCAGGTTACGAAACGAACTGCACCCATGAAAGTTACAACAATTGCGTTTCAAAGGAATAACGTTCAGATAGGTTGCTATCAGATGTTCGTTAAAAAATTATATGCAATTTATATATAGTAAAGTATTTACACTAAATTTACAGTAGTATGAGATATTGGTACCTGGTTATTGGAACCCGGGAATGAGGGATGAAAATCAAGGGCTAGAGCAGCGGGAATCAGTGGCAGGAACTGGGAGAAAGATGACTAAAAATATGATTAATTTATACTTGACAAATAAAATGAAATAACAGGGGAACGGAATTCTGGAGATTGAATGTTTGGGAACGGAAGTTGGAATTCAGAGGATTGGAATCAATGACTCCCCTTGTCTACCACTCTTGCCAAAAATGTCGGGAAGCTGCAGACATGAAGTATTTTTATTAGAAATGTTAATAACATACACCATTTCTAGTCAGCTACAAGCTCAATGGTTATATTTAGAACACAAGAGGCTTCATGAAATTTCTTGAACTCTCTTGACTTGAAATAATAATGAAATCACTAAAGTCAATATGCAACAAAATACCTACGACGGTGTAGTTCGAATTTCAACTTGTTATACAAAAATATTTTGCAGATTACAGTTGTTGCGTCGAGATATTGAAAGAGCCAGTGGTGGACTGATAACCAATGAAGAATGTGCCGAATTCATTCCATTACTGGATGACATGGAAAAAGAAGTTTCAGCTAGGTTTGCAGCTTGTAGATCTGGTATATATCAGTTGAGTTGGATAGATATATGGGTTGAACCCACTTTCAATTTATGAATATACGCTACAAAACAAAAAAAGAATTTTAATATATAAGCTCATAAAATCTAGCACTGTTGGAAGTGCATACAAGGGAAATTAAGAAACATTCATGCTAGTGTGTTTTCAGTCTTAAACAAGACTTTGTGAAATTAATGACCTTCAGTGGTGATTTTACATGTATTTTCTAGCCATGAATATTTAATCATTTAAAGAAAACTAGATCAGATTTATTAAATCCGTATCTAACCCAGTGAAATGGTATCTTTTTCATTATTGGTATGTGCCGCCATTATATGAGAATGATCGTTAGAAGAATGTCTATTAAAAAGGGGTATGTATTCTAGGTTATAAACTGTCCGATGATTTTGCATATGAATATGTAACAGTCGTCAGTTCAAACATTAAAAAAAAAACATGAAATATTCAGCAGCATATTTAAACATAAAATTAGTATAGGTCTCGTCTGTTTAACGATACCTATTCATATTAATTTAATGTGCAATATCATGACTTCTAACTACAAAAAAGATACATTTCGTGAAATGTTGTGACTTTTTAAGTAACAGTCTCAGTTGTAGTACCTCATAATTTTTATGTTTTTTTTACCATAGAAAAAGATCAATACCGCAGTGAACGGGTTGCAGTTGACGGTAATGGACATTCTAAATTCAGCATTTCAAAAGAACAACTGGAATACCTAGTCAAATATGGGTTTACAGCACCAATGATGAGTAATGTTCTTGGTATATCAGAGTCAACTGTCCGTCGAAGACTGAGGTATTAATTATCTTGTGTTCCTATTAAAACAAATTTAAATTTACATTGAAGTAGTCGAAAACAAAAAGACTGCTGCAATTTTGTAAAGGATAATCAATATAATGTAATTTGCGACACTTATAATTCTTCCGTCGGGGGAAGTGCATATTTGCCCAGTATCTGTTAGGAGTAAGTAGAATACGTCTGTGTGTCGATTGCTCCATCTGACATTTTCGGAAAAGATTTCTTTGGTTCATTTAAATCATGATAAAATTTTAATACTTGTATTTTTAGAGAATTTGGTTTAAGCCTGAGAAAGACAACACATATCACCGACATGGAGTTAGATCAATCAATCACTGAAGTGATTGGTACAAATCGCCATATTGGACCGACTTCAGTCAGAGTTCGACTTGCACAAAAGAAAATATTTGTTTCCAGAGAGAGAGTGAGGACAGCATGTGCACGTGTAGATCCAGATGGATGTTCCTTACGATCGTTAGAGAGAAAAAATATAAAACGTCGTACTTACAAGGTTGCTGGACCAAATTCCCTGTGGCATCTGGATGGAAACCACAAGTTGATAAGGTATATATATGCAGTTTTGATATAAAGCTCAAATATATTTTAAAAATAAATATTGTACGATGGGTCTCATGTAGACTTTTTTTAGACCTACCATACAATGATATTCTTTATTTCTCTTAAAGTTCACATTGTCGAACTTAATTGATTGGCATTTTGTTAACACTTAATTTATTCATTTAATAGCAAAACCTTCTTAGTAGTTACTACGTTTGTATCTATTGCTATATATTTGATTTAAGAGTAAAAAATAACTCCTAATTATTACAAAAAGCTATCCATCCCAACGGGAACTTTAAAGTTTGAATATTTCTTATTCAAATCAGAGACATATATTGTATTATATGTCTCTGTTCAAATGAAATAATTATATGACACCTTCGTGTATGGTCTGTGGTTTTGTTGAAACTGAAACATTCAAATGTAGATATAACTAAAGTTAAAACTTCTCAACAGAGAATGATTTTGGTATTTTTACTTAATTAATATCTGAAGATATCAAAATGTAATCAATGTCGAAGTCACATCTGCTCATGTTCAATACGAGTTGACATTGAAAGCATATTTTTTGCATATAGACAGAACTCGGATTTGTCCGTTTTTACGGTTATTACATAATAAAATAAATATACAGTTGTTCTGTGGGAGCCAATGCTCCATGTTGAAGACCGTACTTTGACCTATAATGGTTTACTTTTATAAATTTTGAATTGGATCGAGAGTTCTGTCATTGGCACTCATACCACATCTTCTTACATCTAGTTACTTTGTAACAGGTTTTAAGGAGTTGCTACCTGTAATGACAAATGGTAGTCTGTTTATCTCTATTTTCCTATGTCGTTGTTTATGTTTATATCTAAAACATTATGTGCGCTGTTAGTTTCTACAGACAATTTTCCACATCACTCTACTGTTCTTAGATAGGGAATTATTAGTCTGTAAGATAAAAGGAAAATTTTGTATATTAGCGATAGAGTAAACTAAACACACACGTACTCATGAAAACTTTGTCGTTTTGCTGATATATCAATTTCCATAAATAATCACATTTCTATTTTAACCATACGCTAACGAGTCTCAATGCAAAAAATATCGGGTTATCGGGTGCATTATAATTTGCAGCAGTCCTTGGTTTAAACTATGGTGTCCTTGGTTAAAACTATGGTGAAGGTCTTCAAAAGCTCACTCTTTCACAAATCTCATTCATAAACCAACTGGTTCAAATAGAGACGTAAACAACTGATAAAAGAAATCATCTGTCAATATTTTTATTCAATGTTTTAGAATTTAAATATTTGTTCACAGGTGGGAAATTGTTATCCATGGTGGTATTGATGGTTACAGTAGAATGGTAACTTTCTTAAAATCAAGCAATAACAACAGATCAATAACAGTTTTTAATGAATTTATCAAGGCAACCACAAAATACGGCATTCCATCAAGGGTACGGGTAGACAAGGGCATTGAAAACAATGATGTATGCATATTCATGGAAGATCTAAGAGGCAACGGAAGGGGCAGTGCTATAAGGGGCAAAAGCTCCCACAATCAGAGAATAGAACGTTTGTGGGTCGACGTATGGGAGAATGTTAGTAATGAGTACTACGACCTGTTTACATACATGGAGCACAACAATATACTAGATATAACTGAAGAAGTACACATGCTTTGCTTTCTCTTTGTTTTTATTCCACGATTAAATGAAAGCCTAGTTATGTTTAACTATCAGTACAATAATCACCCACTATCAACTGAGAGTCACAAAACACCAAGTCAGCTATTCATAACAGGTGTTCTGACGAAGTTCAATTCAGGAAATAAACCAATAAAAGAAGTTGTCGAAAATGCTGGAAATCATGACGAATTTCAGAACTCTTTACCTCCAGAAGACTATGGAGTTGGCGATTCGGATGATGGGGATGTCGCCATTAATAGTGAAGATGAAGACATACAGACAATTCCTCAACGGACACATGAAAACCATCTTCTTTCAAGATTGGATGCAGCAATCAACCCACTAGAAAACGTTAGTAATGTGGAATATGGGCTTAAACTATTTAGGAAAGCATTAAGCATTGTTACCACAGAAGAAAATTAAACTTTTTTTCAGCTTAAATTGAGAGATTGTCATTATTTACAGATTGTTCAGTTTAATGTCTCTTACTTTTCTTTCTTTGCTAGTATAATGAGGTCACAACATTGCAACCTCGTATCTTCATATGATAACAAAATCTTGCTATGACTTTGCTAATAAAACATTGTAAACAGCATGTAGAATTACATAATGTCTTTATTAATTGGCATACATTTCAAATACAGTTATACATTATGTGTGCATAGTTCTTAGACACTAATAACTCTATAAAATTCTCACACTTTCTGGTTTGAGTTTTTTTTACATTTATATCTTATAAATTGTATATCCTTCAGCAATTTATTTTGGCAACATATTTTCAAAAACTACTGAGGCAACATCGTAGATAAATATGCAATAACAAGTTGTAACAAAGGGAATTACAGATCTTAAATGACCTGTGGCATATTGTTATAGTGTTTTAAAATATATTGGACCTCAAACTCATACCAGTAATCAAAATAAAAAATCAGGCAAAAAGTGTCAATCAATATTTTATACAAGAGCTGTTAAAATGAAAGTTAACTGTTTGGTTTTATCTGCTTGTGTGTCATGTCATCTTTCAAGAGTCATAACTCCTGAATTATAAAGTGTCTAACTATTGATAATTAAGTCTTTCCAGTTCCCTGTGGAAAGACTTATTGTATTTTTTCTGCTAATCATTATTATTAATTTTTTTTCTTCCGCTTAACTTTGTTTTGCGTAAATTTTTGTTTCGCAATATGTCGCTAAGATATTTCTTATATAGTATCATAAAGCTTATGCACTTTTTATTTTCACCCATTCTAAGCCAAACAAGTTTCTTTAAAAGAGTTATCTCCCTATTCACTGTTTATTACATGTGTGCATCTCCTTCGTAACAAAAAAAGATATCGACAAAATTCTTTTTCTTAATTGTTCGTTACATCCTCAGAAATATTTGGCTAATTTGGAAACTTGAAACTTTTTATTTCACTAAAAGCCTCACATGAGGCATTATAGTACAATAAATTTAACAACAAATATAATTAATGCATGAACATATACATATGAAGTTGATGTAATTGCAGCTGGAAGTTGAACATTACAAATATGATTATTTGAATACAGACATAACAATTTTGCAAAATTTTGCCTATAAGTGTATATTTATCGTGACTATTCATTAAGTCAAACAGGCTAATAATGTTACTGTTGCTATAGATAGGAAGAGGTATAAATTTCTGTCTTTCAGCACTAAAAAAGTTACAATTAAATATTTAATGAAACTCATCACCTAGTTGTTCCTTATCACATAGATCACAAATTCTTTCAGATCTATCAATAGAAAAAAATCTACCAGCCTCAATTAGCAACTTGTGACTTCCACATCTAAATTTAATAATATTATACATCAAATCAGTTGGGAGAACAGAGAGATATTTCTCAAAACCAAATTCAGTCTTATAAATTCTATAATTGATACACTTAGGTGAGTTAAAAATTTGTGCTTTCCAATTTTCAACAAATTTTTCATGAAGAAACTGTTTAACTTGTCTTGACAGAATAACATTTCTTTCTACAGTTTATTCCAACAATGATTATAACCACATTCAAGTAAAATTTCTTTGATACATGATAACCATTTAGAGTGATACATCACCTTCGTAAAGTCTATATAACATATCATATAACGTGCGAGATATTTTCTCTTTTTTACCATTTAAAATACGTTGCCAAAAACCAACCATTCTGGCTTTAATACAAATAGACATAGGTACTCTACCAAGCTCTCCATAAACAATACAAGTTGGAGTACATTTTTTAATCTTCAAAATATACTTGCAAAATTCTGTATGCAAAGATTCAATAATATCATTGTTTTCGTAACAACACACTTCAGCACCATATAACAATATAGGTGCAACCATTGCATCAAAACAATTGTAACAAAATATCAATTGGTAAACAAGTTTTTCTCGCTTTACACAATACATAAAACATGGCATTCCTAGCCTGTTGGACTAGTCGAGCTATATTTTTTGAAAATGTATCTTTTCTTGAAAAAACTGTACCCAGATATTGAAAATCTTCTATAACAGCTATTTTTCATTATTATATAAAAACTGAGTATTCTCACACTGCCTATTTTTTGAAAATATAACAACATTGGTCTTAGCTTCATTGACTTTGAGTTTCCAGGTTTCACAATACAAAAACATAGCATTTAGTGCAGATTGCAATTCAGCGGCAGATTCTGCAAAAATAACAGTATCATCTGCATATAGTAACAAATACAATTTAAAGTAAACTTCAATATCATCATTATCAAACAGCAAGTGAGAAATATTACATACATCATTAAGACCATCATAGGCATGTGATAAGAACTCTGTCAGATCATTAAGAAAAATTGAGAATAAAAAAGGAGAGAGGTTTTCTCCTTGTCTGACTCCTACATTTGAAGCAAAATATTCAGAGAAATTATTACCTTCTCTTACACATGATTTTGCATTTTCATACAGATTCTGTACAACAATAAGCATTTTACCATCAATACCATTTCGTAACAATTTTTGCCATAGTTAAACTCTACTAACCGAGTCAAATGCTTTTTGAAAATCTACAAAAGCACAGTATAATTTTTTCCTTCTAAATTAGTATAGATCAATTAGACATCTCAAATTAATTGGATCGAAGCGATTCGATGAAATTTTATAGGAGTTATCTACCTTTATCAAATAAATTTGTTGGTATGTTTTTTTAACTCATAAACAATTAACCGTATAACCCTAGAATGTTTTTATTTGAGGCCACTAGGTCAATTTGGATCTAATCAATTTCGATGAAATGATATAGGAGTTATCTACCTTGATCAAATAAATTTGTTGGTATGTTTTTTTTAACTCATAAACAATTAACCGTATAACCCTAGAATGTTTTTAGTTGAGGCCACTAGGTCCTTACTAAGAAAATAGGGTCAAAGGTCAAGGCCAAGTTCTCAATTTTGACTTTTACTTGTTTTGGCATTTTCTCCAACACTTTTAAAGATATAAAGTATAAGTGCAAAATGTTTGCTGAATTGTAATAAAGATATGCTACATTTGGTCTGAAACAATCTAATGGCATCTTATAGGAGTTACTGCCCCTGAAATGTCTAATTATTAGTTTTAGTGATTATTACTTCAACTTGGTTCATTCCATAGCAATTTGACCTTTAACAAAAGGTTGGGTGACATCTGACCTTGAAAAATGATAACCGGAAGTGACCTTCAGAAACCCAGGAGTAGCCATTTTTGCACTTTTTACATGGAAAAGTACTCGAAATCCATGGATTTTGTAATTTATATAAATTAACTTATCACAAAAGACTATAAGAGACTTTCCATCAACCGGAAGTGGCCAATTATCTCCTGGTTAACAAGCAAAAGTATAAAAAACTTTATATTTTTGGAATCAGTATGAAAGAAGCTATCATATGAATATGAGACCGAAAGTGCATTTACTTCACCAGAAGAAGCATTTTATATCCCTTATTTCACTCAAAAGTATATAGAAACTATTTATTTATCTCATCAGTATGAAGTAACTTATAATTGGGTGCTAATTTTAACTTTGAGTAAACCGGAACTAGCTTCTTTTCAATATCTTTGAAAATTGATGTGAAAAGACTTTCAATTGTTCTCTAAACAATTGGTTTTTAATTTCTATATATATTTGTTCAGAAACCTCTGGGATTGTGCTTCAAAGTTACACAAAAGGTGTTAAAGATGTTCGCTACTCAATTTTTAAATAACAAGCTTGATAAGACTGTAAAAAATCGATAGAACTTCACAAACTAGAAATGCAGAAAAAATTTATTGGTCAGTTTGCTTATTATTGAGATTTCAGACATTGATTTTTTTTTATGGAAACAGTTTTCTACAGATCAAGTATATTTTGTGCAAAATCTAAGCTCAAATGGGCATACATTCTAGAAAATGATTGAATCATAATATACAATTGACATTCACACTGATGGACAGGTCAAAAACATTAAACTTTTCACAATTTTGTCAATAAGTTTATAATGAACAAGAAAGACAAAAACTATTCTTTTGTAAATGTTTGACTGTTGATAATCAATTCAGTATAGTAGGAAACTGCATCTTCTGATGATAGGTCTGGTTGTGTCTTTAAAGTTAAAGCAAGGGCACATGTATTTACAAAAGTACTGTCTGCAAAATCGACATCAATCAATTTGTGGAATCCAATGGCTGGTATTATTGTTGATCCCGTTAACCACATCATGACATCTTTTAGTTCAAGTTTTATACCATTTATTTCAGTTGCTCTTCCTAAAAAAGAAAATTATACATTGTACTTCTATCTATATAACTTTTTGTGATTGATGGATATCTGCATGTTTTTAATTTCTTAGTCCCCTTAATTATTCTGTTTAATTTATGTATGACTCTACACACAATAATTAAATAAAAATTCTATAAATACAATTATTTTGTATCAACGGCACTGATTGGATGACAGTAAGCGTAAAATTCTTAATCTCCCTGACTGTAACTAAGGAAGCTGACATTTTGAATTGCAGAATGTATTGACATTTTCCCAAAAAAAATCGAACAAAAAATTTACATTTTCCACCTAGAAAACCTTATTTCATCAAATTTTATTTCATTCTGAGGCGACCAAGAAGCCAGAAAAATGCCAAGCATTTATGTTTGATGCCGGAAGCATACCTATGAGGTCACCTAGATAGGGGCCAATGAAGATCCTTTCACAAAACTTATTTTCTTAATGAAAAGTTTACAGTGAAAAAATGACTAAAATTAAATTATCTATGTATTTAGCATTAGAACAGAGATAACTGTATTGTATTTGAATTTTTATGTACATCCAGCATGGGTTCTATGATATTTACTATTGATTAGAGTTTTCATGTTCATATCCTTTACTTTATATCACACAATCTTGAATAAATAAACTGTTTAGAAAACAAAAGGCAATCTATATTATATATAAACAATTATATATTTCAGGGCATAAACAGTAGAAACATTAATCACACATTAATTGATCAGATAATGGTTAAAACATCAAATTTACACTTTAAATACGAGTTAAAATTCTTATTGAATAAAACCATCAATGGACAAACTGATTTAAATATTTCAAATTGTATGTATAGGAAAAATATAGTGACACAAACTTAGCCAATTTTGTTTAAATTTTTTTTTCTCACTTTTTCAGTGAAGTATGATCATCAACAGACAAATAAAGTAACAGTGGTTAAAAGAATTATTTGATTTCTTAAAACATTTTGATTTAAATAATGTTTTATAAAATTGAGGAACAGAGACACTTACAAGTTTATATTACAAAACTAAAGAGGAAATGAAAAGTCCTGACAAATATACAAACCCTTGGTGGCTTGAAGGAATGTCAAGAAACCTATCCCAGTGGCCCTCTGATCCTGATTAGCATTTCCCTCTGCATATTTAAATTTTAGAAGTTTTCTAAATTTTCCAACTGTGATGGGTTTTACCCTCCCACTGAACAGGGATCTTGCAGAAGCCCTGTTTTCTGGCTGTCGAAGAAGGCTCATGACTTGATGAGTATCTAAACCTATACAAATATATAAAAAAAAAACTTTAATATTCAAATTCCTGTAGTTTTGATATCAATTACCATTTGATTTTTGGTGTTTTTACGCTACTTTTAAGCACCACTTTTGGGCTATTTCGTGGCGGTCAGTTTTTTTTGGTGGAGGAAGCCGGAGTGCCCGGAGAAAACCACCGACCTTCGATAGGAAAACTGACAATCCTAGTCAATTAAGATTGGAGTCGAGTGCACCCGCACGAGAGGGGTTCGAACTCACAACCTCAGTGTTGACTGGCTAGTGATTACAGTAGTAACTACTTAGACCACTCAGCCACCGAGGCCCCTTATATCAACTAACAAACACCATGACTGTACCTGCTATTCTTCATGCAATTGAGTTCTGAAGCATAACTGATAAAGATAACTTGAAAATGGTACTTCAATTGAGGCAATGTTTTGTTTTATAGCATGATGGGTGCTGTATAGGGTGCAGGAAATCCTACCCTTTTTGG